TACCTGTTTTTCTCACCTTTTAAAAACGGCACAGGTCTGGTTGTGCAGCCCAGGTTGGCCTAGAATTTGCAGAAATCCTCCTGCCTCTGCCTCCCCTGTGTAGTATTAAAGGTATGTGACATTGTGCTTGGTCAAAAGATTTTTTTAACACAATTTTTATGAAATGAAATTTATAGAATATTACCTGTGAGGAAAACCTATAAAACAGATAGACAAATACAATGGAAGATCACGAGGCAAGTACCCATGCATGGTCCTCAAGCCTTAAGAATTGTCCTGTTGCATCCCTTGTCCCCTCGTAGGCAGAAGCCCCTTGGGCAATACCAGTAGCTGGGTTTTTATGATAATTGTTGTTTCTCTTTGTACTTTTACTACCTATAAGTCATGGGGAAAGTTTTCAGTTAGGGTTCATTTGGGTAACTCCCACGAGCACAGACCACATTGCAGTCTCCTTCGTGCAAGGCCTGAATCTTCCTGTCTCTCCACAGCCACTGGGGACAGGGAGGATTCCTTCAAAGTCTCCAGGCTCCTCCTGCCCAGTCTGCTCAGCCCATGTTTCATGTTCAAGGCATCTGCATGCTGCTGGGGCACCACAGCAGACAGAAGCAGCCTAGGTAGTCCTGGTAGAAGAAGCTAGGACTTATCCAAGGACTCCCATACCTGCTTTGGGGGTTTGAAAGAGGCAAGGATCACTTTCAGCAGTGTGTGTGTGTGTGTGGGTGAGGGAGTGGTGGGGCAGTAGGAGGGAGCTAGCTTTGTGGATGGAGTGCCATGATGGTCATTTGTGTGTCATTTTGCAGTAGTGTGTGTGGGGTATTATGAGAGTAAAACCTGTATTCCAGGCAAACAATCTCCCTCTTAGCTATAACCTCCACCACATTTATTGCATTGTTTTTCTTTTGAGACAAAGTCTCATGTAGCTCAGGTTGAACTTGAACTTTTTTTTTCTTCTTTTTGTGGCGGGGGGAGGTTTGAGATAGGGTTTCTCTGTAGCTTTGGAGCCTGTCCTGGAACTAGCTCTTGTAGACCAGGCTGGCCTCAAACTCACAGAGATCCACCTGCCTCTGCCTCCCGAGGGCTGGGATTAAAGGCGTGTGCCACCACTGCCCAGCTGAACTTGAACTTTAAACATGGAAAAAAAAATACATTTAGAGAGAGAGAGAGAGAGAGAGAGAGAGAGAGAGTTTGTAAATGTACTCGCACACTGAGGTTCCCCTGTGGGGGTCAGAGAATAACTTGTGGGAGTCAGCACTCTCCTTCCACCTTAGTGTAGGTTCTGGGTTAAGAACTCAGGTCCTCAGGTTTGTGTGGCAAATGCTTTACCTATTGAGTCATCCTGCAGGCCCTGTGGCACACTTTAAATTAAATTAAATCCATTCATTCAACTGGACAGTTCTCACCAAGTTACAGAAGAGAATCTCACTGGGTCCCCTGCCTGCTGGTGTCAGCAGCAGATCCCTCCGACATGCTGAGACCGGTCAAGCCTGGGCTACCCGTCTATTCCTATAGGCTCCAGGTTCATCTCCAGAGTCACATGAAAGCTGGAGTTGAAGCTGTTTCAGCAGAAATGGCCGTGCTGCCATTACCAGAAAGACAGAACCAGAACTACCGGTGAAGGAGAGTTGGGGAACACTGTGATAGCCAGTTTTATGTCAACTTGGCACAAGCTAGAGCCATTGAAGGAGAGGGAGCCTCAGTTGAGAAAAATACCTCCCTCACACCAGGCTGTAAGTAAGCCTGCTGGGCATTTTTTAAATCAGAGGCTGATGCGGGAGGGCCTTTCCCATTGTGGGTGGTGCCATCCCCGGACTGGTGGTCCTGAGTTCTATAAGAAAGCAGGCTGAACAAGTCAAAGCAGTGTAAGCTTCCGCACTTTTCTGTGGACACCCGAACCTCGAAACAGGCGCGCGCTTTCCTGACTCGAGCCCACGAGAACGGACGCATGTCCTAGGGGTTTGAACAGACGACACACATACAAAGAGACCGGCTCATCTGCCAAGAGCAAGTGGCAAATGGCAACTTTATTAAATTTAAGTCAGATATTTATACCAGTGGGCAACCAGGATAAAAAAGGCAAGGCCTCCTCCCAACCAGAAGCAGGAGGAGAAGATTAAAGCTTCCCGGCCCCTCGGGCAGGGTCAGCCAGGGGAGGCAGGCTAAGGGCTCACTGCTAAGACCTTGAATACAGGTGGAATCACCATAACAAAGAGAACCAGGTTCTTGCTAAGTTATCCCCTCAAGCCAGAGCTGGTGCAGAGACTCCAGGAAGCCGGAGGTCATACGGCCCTGCGAATCGCCAGGAGAGAAGGGAAGAAACTTTGCTAGCTACAAAGCAGCATCCCTCCATGACCTGTGCATCAGCTCCTTCCTTCAGGTCCCTGCCCAGTTTGAGTTCCTGTCCTGATTTCCTTCAATGATGGAAGGCAAAGTGGAAGTGTAAGCTGAATAAACACTTTCCTCCCCACGTTGCTTTTGCTCATGGTGTTTTGTCACAGCAGTAGAAACCCTAAGACAAACCTGACAGGCTGCCTTCCTGTTAATTTGATGCAGCTAGAGCCAGGGGACTAGGAAAAGGAGACGCAAGGGACTGGAGTCTCGGCTGACAGCAAGAACTGGGTAGATTGGGGTCAAGGAGTAACCCCACTCCAACTTGGGGTGGTGGGAAGGCCAAGGGTGCCTTCTGACAAAGCCCAACACAAAAGACCAAGTGCTGAGTGAGTCCTTGTCCTCAGAATAAATGTGGGCAAGGCCAAACAGTTGGGTGACACCCCATCAAGATAGGGCAGCTGGTAGAAAGGGCAGGCATTGTCTAGGGACATTCATGGGACTGTGAGGCAGGATGAAAGAAAGAGAGGACATAGCCAACCAGCCTTGGAAACAGAGAAAACCAGCAGTCTCTCTCAGGCTGAAGAAATGGATGTGTGTGGTAGTGAAAAGTTGACATTGTGGTTGTCTAAGTGGGAGAGCACTTGCCTGGCACTTGGTAGGTCTTGGTTTCCATTCTGGCACTGAAGGAAGAATTACAATAGGCAAGACAACCTAAATTCCAGCAGGGTGGGATTGCCCACATGGGGTAATGGCCACATGGTAGAAAGCAGCCTCGGTAAGAGGGGCTTCATCTGACATGGAGAGATGTTTACAGTGCAGCTTTGAGAGAAGTTGATTGCAGCCTGGGAGGTGGCTTGGTGGGGAAAGTGCTTGCCGTGCAAGTGTGAGGACTCAAGTTCTAATTCCTGGGGCCCTCATAAAGCTGGATGAAGTGGCACATCTGTAAGCTCAGAGCTCCACCTTCCAAGTGCTAAGATTACTGACGTGCAATGACACACCCTCCGGGATACAAAGTCATGCCCAGCTAAGTGAACTTCTTTTTTCTTTTATTTTTAGAGAGGGTGCTATGGGCAGACTGAACGCTATGTGCCACCAAGGATGACCTTTGATTTTCCTGCTTGGGAGCTCTGCTTCCCAAGTGCTGGGATCACAGCTGTTCACCCACATGCTTGGTTTATTAAAGTGGTCCTGAGAATCAAACCCAGGGCTTTGTGCGTACTAGGCAAGTACTCTGATGACTGGGTTACACTTCCAGCCAGCAAATGAACATGATTAAGATAAGGTTTCTTCCAATATTGGGAAGCATCTAAGGCTAGGCTAGGTTCTCTCTTCTCTAGCAGCGGTGCACACTAACAGGGAAGACAGCAAATAAACAGGAGCCAAGAAGACAGGAAAGGTAGGAGGATTTGAGAGACCAGAGCTGAAGGGACTAGTATTCGGCACAAGATATTCCAAGACCAAGTTTTCAGCACAAAAGAGATTTATTTGCCCCAGAGGGACAGAGTGGACTCTGAGACAAAGACAGGAGATAGAGAACCAGGGAGAAGGGAAAGAGAACAAGGGAAAGGGTATTTGTCCCAGAGGGACAAAGTTCTGCCTCTGGATAGAGAGGAGACAGACATGGCCCATAGGCAAATGACAGTTTATCAAGGTAAAAGGGGAAACCCTGTGTTAGCATGAGGTGTTTAATTTTGATTGGACAGGTTAATTAGGGCAGCCACAAGGGGGCTTTTGATTGTTGGACTACAGTATTTTGATAGCTGGACATTGGTAGTCAGCTTCAGGAGGAGGAAGTGGCCAAATAAGGGAATAGATCTTGGTGGCTAGCTTTAGGACTGTAATTTAACGGCTTTTAGCAAGACAGAGGGGATGGGGAGAAGGGTAAGGCCTGCCAGAGCCATGTTTGCCATGCTCAGCTGGCTAGAGTCCCTTCAAGAGCCAGCCAAAGGGGCCAGGGAAGAGGAGCCAGGGAGATTAAATGGAGGGCCTTTTTGAGGGGGCAAGTCTCTAGTTCTGAATAAAACCAGGGCTATATTCTATTCTCATGCCAGGACAGGCAGGTTATTGGAGGCCTGTGAGCTTCAGAAAGCTGTGCACAGCAAGTCACTACCTCTCTTTAAAAAGCAAAAAAGAGCTGGGCAGTGGTGGCACAAACCTACTTGCTAGCACTTGGGAAGTGGAGGCAGGAGGATCAGGAGTTCAAGGTCAACCTCTGTGACACATTTGTGTTCAAAGCCAGCCTGGGCTATGCCAGACCCTGTCTCGAAAGTCATAAAAAAAAAAAAAAAAGGTATCCTGGGCAAGGGGACGCACAGCTTTAATTCCAGCACTCAGGAGGCAGAAGCAGGAGGATATCTGTGAGTTCTGGGATAGTTTGCTCTATATAGCCCGTCAAAGGCTACATAATGACACCCTGTCTCAAAATAAATTAAAAATAAGATATATTAACAATGTTCTTTTTCACAAAGTTTCAAGGATAAAAATAAGCTTTAGTGACAACACTGTGAACATTTCTGTCCAGAGTTTTATTACGAATAAAATCACTGCTAAAAGGTGCAAAACCTCAGTACAGGAACGCAGCCCGCGCGTCCGAGGCATGGGGCGGAGCTGCGGCTAAGCCCTGCCCACCGGGGGGCCCATTCCAGCCCCTTCTCCCTCTTTGTCCCTCCCACTTCCGCGGGCACCCAACCGTGCGTCCCCTGCGTGCTGACGTCAGGCGCGTGCCCCTGTCCGGCAGCCGAGGAGGCCCCGCGCAGTGCTGCCAACGCCCCGACGGAGAAGCTGAGGTGAGTGCGGGGCCCGAGTAGCCTCCCCGCGGGAGTGTGTTATGCACTGCCCGGTTCCAGTCGCGCGCCCCTCGTCCTCCCTCGGTCCTCGAGGGTGCTCGCGGTTGGGGGGCATCCCGGTGCCTACGGGCCTCGAGGGAGGGATTGCCGGGTTCGCGTGCGCTCGCGGGCCCGGGTTCTGAGGGGAACGAGGCGGGGTCGCGGAGGGACTTGGGGCCGGAATGGCGGCAAGGCGCGGCCGGGGACGGCGGCGGCCGAGGGCGCCACCCGGCCGAGCTGTCAGTGGCGGCGAGAGGACCAGGCACACCCATCCCACTCGCTCCCCTCCCCCC